TATATATATATATATATATATATATATATATATATATATATATATATATATATATATATATATATACTAGTTATAGGATACACGCGTTGTGCGCGTACCTAATATCAATGAATATAAAATTTTGAAAATCACACAAGTAGTTCTAAACTATGTGAATGGATTATAAAATAAATTTTAAAGTTTTCTAGCTTTCCTGTCTTACGGAATTATAATTCTTTTATTGAAGTCATCCTTAAAAAATAACAATGACAATACTGTAAATGTTGGCTTACTTTATTCTCCATTGATATAGACAAGAAAGTTCATATGATGATAATATAAGAAGATAAATTGTTAGCAGGCCGATTTCTTTGTCTATACACATCGTATACTTTATGTCCATACACTCAAGTAACTAAAAAATCTCATTTTTCTATGCACCATACTCCAAGGGATTTTGGCTCAAAATCTAATCTTTGTACCCACAACATTAAGCCTTACTCTAATATCACATGTCAAACTCAATGAGCAGCATAATTTCCATACTATGTTTCATTACACCTAATTCAATGAGTTTAGCTAAGAGCTTTTGCCGAGCGTTAAACAATTTTATCATATTCTGTGGCGTCAAATTTATTTGTCAAACATAAAATAAAACAAACATTTAGTACCCATTGTGAACTAATGATCACATTTGACTTAGTTGATACTATGTAAAACATAAAACCTGAATGACCTTTTTCTAGAGTAAAACTCTGCTGAGTTCTAGTCAACACAAAGATTTCTACATAGTAAGAGCAAGAACAAGACAATTACATGTCAAAGTCAGTGGATAAGAGACTGTACATCACCAGATCCACTATCTTCCCCTTGTGGTAGCCATATTTTCTCAATATGCCCTCTTTTATGAACCCAGCCTTCTCCAATACCCTTTGGGATGCCTTATTCTCAACATCAGCTAATGCCTGAAGCCTTACTATTTCAGGAAAGTCATTATACACTTGAGGGATTGTCATTTTGACAGCATTTGTAGCAATCCCCTGTCCCCAATATTCAACTGCAATAGCATATCCAATATCACCTCGGCTTCTATCATCACCTGATTCAGGGAATCCGAATTAGTTGGACTAGTGAATTTCGGATACTGAATGCATAAATAAGAAGGAAAAAATAACTTCACCTGATCCAGGAAATACCGATACGAACCCTATCGAGCGGTCATCGATGCATATCGATCGACGCCAAGGATGAGGTATACACACTTCCTTGATGAAGGTCAACGCTTCTTCTGTCGAGGTCAAAGTCTTCCATCGGATGGTTCCAGTTACTCGATCATCGCCTGCCCATAACATCATATCATCAACGTCTGTTAAATTAAATGGACGCAGACTAATTCTTGAGGAATCCATATCTATTTCCAGTGTGTAGCAGATATCTCAGTCATAATAATTGGAGCTTGTATATTATAGTAACATAAATGGAGTAGTACCTACCTTTACGAATTGTTAGTCAAAGACTAGGGGTTTTTAAATGTGACAATGGGCAGTGGGGCATCATTTGTTTTTGCATGTGAAATTGTGGTGGGCACCTAAATCAAGGGCCTTGGTCTGAATTGCAGAAACCAGCTAATTAATCGTTGAAATTTCCAATGTTTAATACCATAAATTTTAAAAGGTTTTCTGTTTCTTAAGTTCTGTGTTCGATGAAATAGGTTCACATAAAATAAATTGAATAGAACAATATTTTTGAAGTTCAAGGGCACTTTCGTCTGTTTATATTCATTTTAATTGATAAATACAATGTAGAACATCACTTCATCTTCATCCACATGTATACTCTACAATCAGGCGAAACAAATGAAATGCACCAGTGAGCAAATTGTAATCAGGCATGGATGAGCCAAATAAAAATTGAGCCGTTAGTCAATAATGGCATAGATGACTCATTTCTTTAACGGCAGTGGCATGAAAATAGCAATTTTTTAACGGATGGCATGGATAAACAATTTCTGAAAGTTGAGTGGCATTTTTAGGCCTTTTCCGTATATATTAAAGTGAGGGGTCATCGGACCCCATAAGCTTCCGCAAAAATCTTGAATATGTATATGTATATACCTTGAAAATAGTTAATTTAAAGCAGTTGACACCCGGAACACTAAATGCCTTTACTGGTTGAGCATAACACTGTGCTCCCGTCACGTAAAAATCCTCGGTCTGCCTCTAGCAATGTACCATGACTTACATAAATGAAAAAGTGAAAAAGGGAAGAGCTTTACTTGCACATCAACAACAATAACAACATATCCAATATCATTCCACATGTGGCGTCTGGGGAGGGTGGGGTGTAATGAGTTCTTACCCCTACCTTGTGTGAGGTAGAGAATTTATTTCTAATAGACCATCGACTCAAGAAAAGAGTTTTCAAAATAAATTTGAAGTAAAAAGCTAATGACGAAAGTACCGAACAAAAATAAGAGCTTTAACTTGCACATGATAGAGTTAAAAACTTGAAATTCATGGGCTTGGAAGGATGTTGTCTGTGGATAGAAAAGTGTAAACCGCATCAACCACCACAATTGCGTCTCCATTGATCTGGACTTGATGTGTTATGGAACTTTGGTAGAGAAATCCAGCCTTCTCCAATACCCTATAAGAAGCCTTGTTCTCCAAAAGAACAAATGCTTGATGTAGCACTCCTCAAATTTAAATAAATTTCAAGACTCGCTAAATATAGAATTTAATTTTTTCCCTTAAATTATACTTCTATTACGGATTTAAACCCTTGTGAATAATTCTGAGTTACATCTTTATTTATAAATAAGTGGCTATACAATTAGGAAATATTAATAATTTTAATATTGTTAATTATTAAAAGTAGGTATTATTGATTATTGGTTAAGTATAATAATAATAATAATAATCATAATAATAATAATAATAATAATAATAATAATAATAATAATAATAATAACAACAACAAAAAAAAAATGGACAAAATATTCAAAGCCCTTTAAGCCCAAATCTGTTGAAAAGTGTAAGCAGGCTTAAAGCCTTAAAACTTCAACGAAAAGAAACCCCAAGCAGAATTCTTCTCAAAATAAAAAAAAACGAAACTCCAAGCAGATTTTTGCATGTAAGAAACAGAGGCACGTCCCAGCGAAAATACTCAAGCAACCAACGGAAAATTCTAGGGTTCTTACCAATCACTAATTCTTAAATTCAGGTATGTAAATTTTCCTATTGCCAATTATCCTACAGTGGTAATAGGTAAGAATTGAATAGCTAATCCCCTTCTTCCTCTTTATCAACAGTAAATTACATGTTTAGGAGTCAAACTTTAAAATTTATTTAAAATGCACTGGTTGTTGTAGAATCAATTGTTTGACGGGTATAAATTGGACTGGAGTCTACGTATTGGTTCGAGGAGTTTTGAGGTGAGTTGATATGACCCTTTACTAAAATGGTTTAACTCACAAAAGCACACACACAAGGTGTTTGATGAATTGCTTAAAAGAGTTTATATTTATTTAATCAGAGCGAGTGAGTATCCATTAACTTAGAATTGTTCTAGAAAAAGTTTAGATGAGCTATTATGATATATGTTCTTATATTTTCAGATTTTTGTGTTATCCTTATATGCTATTTTCATGTTGAAAATTTATGAAGAAGAATGAATCTTTAGAAATATTTTTATATGTTTATTTCATTCTTATTTTCAGATTTTTGTGTTATCCTTATATGCTATTTTCATGTTGAAAATTTATGAA